AAAAATTTATAAAAATTAAAATTAATATATTAATTTAAAAATAATTAATATAATATATTAAAATTATTTACTTTTCTAGAAGATAATTTTGTAAAAGTAGAAATGAATATAAAATTATCTAATTATACTACTTCTTAGCTTTAAAAGATAAATAATATTTTTTGAATATTAATTAAAGGTTTACCAAAACTAATTAACATTGTTTTTTTATTATATTTTTTATTTTTTTAATTTTATTCTACTTATTTTTTAAAATTTTATATTCTGTATTATTTAAAATTTTATTATTAAAAAGAATTTAACTTTAAATAACTAGTGGTAATCATCACTAGTATATAATTAGCTAATAACAATAAAATAATAAAAAGATTTTATTTCATTAACTTTAGATTAGAGCAAGGCTTAGGATTTTAACAAGGTGTTATATATATACAAATTTTAGCAAAAAATTTTTTTTGTTAGAACATCAAAAGTAGTTTCATTGGTGAATTCTAGAGATATTAGCACTTTTTTAAAAATTTCTTTATTTTTATTATACAACATGTTATATCTGATCCTGCAAATTTATTAGCTAATTACATACTAGTGATAATCACTACTGGTTATAGTTATTAATATTCTATTAAAAAATTTGTCTATAAAATAATAAAATATATGAGAAGCAATATTTTCAAAAAGTGTATATATAATATCTACTAGAAATAATAAAAGAAAATTGATTAAAGAAAGTTTAAACAAAATACTATAACTATTTATACCTATTAATATAATAAATAAAATTTAAAATATATTTAAATTTAATTATTAATAAATAATTAATAATAATTATTATATTTGCACTTTTTACTATCTTGAATATAATTATTATGAAAATGCATTAGTAAATTTTCTAGATTATAATAATTATTTTCTTGAGGTGATTGAAGATAATATTATATATGTTTTGATGTTTTTGAATATACTCCTTTAATATAACAATATCAGTATTTATATTTGGTATTATATTCTAAAAGGCATATAACTTTAGATAATGCAAGAATATCTCCAGATTATGAAAGAATATAACTATATAATTTAAATATTTCTTTTAATATTACATTATAACATATTAACCATTTATAAAACTTTATTAATTAAGATATATTTTATTGCTATTAATTATTATTATAATTTAAAATTAATAATTACTTTCAAGTTGCCTTAATTCATCTACTATTAGTTGTAAAAAACTATTAAAATCTTTTGAAGATTTTGGTTCTAATATAACCATATTAATCATTAAATTTTCTTTTTTTACTTTTTGTAAAGGTGAACAATTTGCATTTAAAAACAAAATTATCTAATAATCATTTTGTTTTTGTTTAAAAACTTGATAACTATCTATAAATACAATTAAAGCAACATCTCTATAATCTAAAAATAATCCTGAATCTACTAAAGTTTTATATCTATTACCATCAAATATATATCCAATTTTACTATTATTAGATGCATATTCTTTTTTTGAGGTATATTCATACTGATATCTAAGATCTTTTGCTCTTGATAAATTATTATATTGCAATTTTAAACTATCAATTATTGAAAAATATGCTAATTGTTTTCTAGATTTTTTAGTTTTTTTTTTAGTTATATATCGTGGCTCTTTACAAATAGGACAGATATTGCAATTTGTATTTTTTCCAGTAAATGCACAGCATAAATTCCAACAAATATCTATGAGCTTTGGTTTAAGTGGGATAATTTTTCCTAAAATTGTTCGAAATTTATAAAGTGAAATATTAGAAATTTCAAAAATTTCTAAAATTTCATTAAATGCTTGTTCTGAAATTGTATGTTTGTCTTTGATATACAGAAGGCGAAGTCCTTTTATTAAATCACTTGATAAATCTTAAAATATAAATGTTAATAAAAAATTTTTAAAATAAAATTTATATAAATAATAAAAATAATTACTATAATTTATTGAAATAGAATTAGGATTATTTGGATCCTCTTCTAATTCATTATCATTTTCTAGTTCTTCTTCTTCTAATTCTTCTTCTTCTAATCTTTCTAAATTATCATCACTTTCTAGTTCTTCATTTTCTAATTCTTCTTTCTCTAATTCTTCTAATTCTCTTTCCAATTCTTCTAATTCCTCTTCTTCTTCTAATTCTTCTAATTCTCTTTCTAATTCTTCTAATTCATTTTCTCCTAATTCTTCTAATTCTCTTCCTAATTCTTCTATTTCAAAAAATTCCTCATTTTCTAAATCTTAATTTTTTTTAAAAAAATTAATTATTAGATTTAAAATAAACATACAATTTATCTTTATAATTTTTATCTTACTTTGTTCAATATTATCATTACTTTGACTTTCTATATTACTTTGTTCAATATTATCATTACTTTGACTAATAGTTTTCTCAATACCCTCCATATTTTGATTAATAGTTTTTTCAATATCTTCCATACTAATAGTATTAATTTGACTATTAAAAATATTTTCTGATATATTATTTGAAATTATGAAAGTATTTTGAATATTTTTTTCACGCTTTCTATGTCTTGTTCGAGAAGAGATACTTAAAAACTTGCCATTATTATTAGTTTCTTGTAGACAAAAAGTACAAATACATAAAACTTTTTTGCCCATATCTAATTAAGAAAGAATTTATAATAATAATAAGTATTTGTAGTATCTAAATATACTAATTATATATTTTTAACAAATAACAAATTCGTTTTTTGCTAAATTATATAGTAAAAGAACTAGATTTATAATTATTTATAAAGAAGATTAAGTTTAAAAAGTAAATTATAAAAAAATTAAATCTTTTTA